GTTTGGCACAGCTTGTACTAGTAGTTTCCTCTTCCGTCTAGTTATTCTTGTTGTTGATGGTCTAGCAATAGACGAAGTAGTTGATGATGGAAGTAACAGTATTGCGGCCAAACTTGGTAAAGCATTAAAATTTACTTTACCAGTTGGTGGTAGCACGTTTTTAATAATAGGAGTCAACGAGGGTTGCCCTTGGTTCAAGTTGTCTACAAATTCTGACACAATATTGTTCTCACTGCCACTGACGCTAATATTATCCTTTAATGTATTTTTTTTTTTTAAGGGGGGAAAATCATCGAATGACTGCTCCCGCCTGGGTGAGGCGGAAGGGAGTGTCAGACTCTTACTGACTAAAAACCACCCCGTTCCTTCTCCTGCACGTCGAGCCGGAGCCCCGGTTACCCGTTAGGTTCTCCGCGACATCCTTTAATGTATGGGAGCTTTCTAAGATATGCATGCGTTCTATGTCTGAATAAGGATAACACTTCAGTTCTATAAACAGCGCACATACGTAGATTTTGACGATTTACGCGGCCAAAACTATTTTACAGCTAAATTTTCTATGTTCAATAAGATTAAAAAATAATAGTTTTTCTTAAATAACAAACGTATATTTCACTTATTTTGAAAATAAAAAGTACAGTCACGGACAAATTCTAAGGTTTACTTAAAAAAAAATACAAACACGGTAATAATTTTTTTTTTTCATTAAGAACTTAACAATAACATGTAACCGTAACAATATAAAATATCATTCAGATTCTAAAAAACTATCACCCTTCTCGGGCCCAGAGCATTCATCCATTGTCTCCACGTTTGGGTCAGCAGGTAATAAAAGTTCAATAGTTTCATGGAGGAATGCTTTGCGTGAAGGTCTTTTTATTTGCCTCATGCAACTAATCAGAGGGTCGGAACTTAATAAAAGCCTATTATAAATATCTAAATTACATTCCTCCCTTGAAAACTTTCTGGCAAAGTTAAGGCGGTATGAACGGAAATGCTTATTCCGGGCTTCTGCAGCCTCTTCTGATAGCTGTCCAATAGGAAGCAGAGATTTTTTAATAATTTGGCCTCCATGTACCAAAATCTTGTGCATGGTTGGCGTCATAGGATGCCAACCATACAGTTCCACGTACAATTTTGCCGTGTCAAACACATATTTATCATATTTTTCAATATCAATTTCGTGATTACTCGAAATCGTTTCTAAAATCACCTTGAATCTGTATAGTGGAACCCATGAAATGATGTCATGCTATTCCTAGATTCTAAGAGTATATTAAATAATGTAAGTATCAATTATAGGGGAGTAATAAATCATATTCGTTGCTAACTGGACGTGTTCTATTTCTCTCCCGAATCGAACCTTTATATGGCGACCCTGCCAGCGCAGTGGAATGTCCCATAAAAGGAGACGTTATTATAAACATTGAGTGCTCTGGACAGTTTTAAAGACTTATTACGATGGCTCTAATTTTATTCATTACCTTACGAAGTGACGGTTCGTGTACTGTGAACTTAATTTGTGACTTTTCTCGTGTTCCTCAATTAAAAATCAAGTTTCAAAATGGGCAAACAACAATCTAAGACCCAGGAAGTTATAATAGCACAGAACGGCGCAGAAAATTCGGCTGGGGCCGAACAGATGTTGCAGCATACACATGTGATAACTTATATGTTGGTCACTATTGCCGTTATACTGATTATTGGAGGCGTTATATGGCTATTGCGCTACTACAGGAAATGCCATGGAAAATGGATTAAGAGAGGTGTTCGTGACTTCAATCTGCGAAGGTCGATGAGCTTGTTCCGTCATCAGCAACGGGAGGCCAATTTTGCAACTTCTACAGGACCTTCACCGGTGTGAGTGTTGTGATTAAATAATAAAAAGTGCGGTCACCCCAAGATAAAGTGCGATTAGTGTAAAACGGCATGGAAATGGATACGGTAATGATAAAAGTATAAGGTACAACATTTATATGTTAAATATTTACTCGCATTTTAAAGTTTATTAAATAAGGTAATATTAGTGTGTTATTTTAAATGATTTTGTCATATTTTTGTGTGTATGTAATTATGATGATTAATATAATATAATTATACGTAACTTTATGTAATGATGTTATGGCTAGTGAAGTTAAAGAAATATTTGATAAACTGAAGTATATTAATGATTACCTTACAAAGTTAGGTCCAAGTAGAAGGTCAATTAATGTAAGACAAGCAAAACAAACTGAAGTAAATATTTTATATAAACAATTTTGTTCCTTACAAATAGCTATTGAAATTCGAATAAAAAATAAAGAGATTAGTGATAGTGAAATTCAGATAATTACAAACTTATTTGATAATATAAATAAATTGTATTCGAAAATAATTCAACTTTGTTCTGATAGTACAGAGGATACGAAAAGCACCATGGAAAAGTTCGAATTGAAAACTGCGATTGCTTTGTTACCAGTAATGACGGGTGATGAGAATATCACCAAACAATTAATTTCAAACATCGAGATGTATGAGTCTATGATAGATGATACGGGTAAAAAGCAACTCATTCAATTTGTTATAAAGTCACGGCTATCTGAAAGCGCTAAGCTGCGCATGCGTCATACTTATTCGTCTGTTGCAGATTTGATTCTAGACATGCGTAGTATCTTACTGCCAAAAAAATCCGATACTGCGATCCACAGCAAGATGCAGCATATGAAACAGAACGACAAGAGTATCGAGAATTACGGTAAGGAATTAGAACAGTTATTCGTCGATCTGACAATTACTCAGGCCAACGGAAACACTGATCTTTACCAAACTTTGAAGCCAATAAACGAGCGGATAGCTATAAAACGATTTTCTGATGGTCTGAGGAATAGTCGTCTTAGCACAATAATTGCAGCTAGAAATTATAGCACATTGAAGGACGCGATCCAGGGTGCATTGGACGAGAAGCTATCGAGTGGAGGTGAAGAGCGAGTGATGAGTTTTCATCATAATAGAGGTAGGTCAAACCGGGGTCATCGTAATTATAATAATAGTTTTAACAGGGGTGCGTCTAGAGTGTTTTCTAACTCTCAAAATTATAATAATCCTAGTCGTGGTTATTACAATGGTTCCAATCGTGTACGTAACTTTAATAATTCATCCAATTATCGCGGTCGCGGTGGTTTTCGTGGCCACACAACGTTTCGTCGCCCGGCTCGTCAACACCAAATTAGGCTAGCTGAGTCGAGTGGTAGTGAGCGTTTACAAGAAAATCCTGAAGTGCAGACTGAAAATCAAAATAATAACTTGTTTTTTCGTGCATGAACATTTTTATTGCCACAATATTAACTCTATTAATTTAGATGTTGTATTCCACGTGTCGCGTAGTTGGTTACTTGATACCGGCGCGTCAGTGTCCATAATTAGGCAGGAGGCGTTAGAGAGCCTGCACATTCCTTTCCATATAGAGCGCATTAAAATAAACGGTATAGGTGGTCATGTGTATTGTGATGGTTTTGTTTATCTTAAATTGAATTATAATAATTATGAGTTCGAGCATAGGTTTTATGTATTTAAGAACTTTACTTGTAGAACAGATGGTATATTAGGACAAGATTTCTTGAGTAGATTTAATTGCATATTAGATTTTGAGCGAAATATATTGACAATTAATCATGACGTACCCATTGTTATCCCATTACAAATGGGGCAACTCGGCAACAATACTTACATGACTATACCGGCCAGATGTGAAGTTACTTACTTAGTAGAGACAAGTTTAAAAGATGAATGTGTTGTTATGTCTAAACAGTTAAGTGAAGGCGTATTTTTAGCGTCTGTTTTAGTAAAACCTATAGATGGTAAAATACCATTAACATTTTTAAACACCCGAGAGACAGACATATGCTTAAGTTATTTCACGCCCGACATTGTACCTTTAAATGAATATTTTGTATGCTCTTTTGAAAGTTTTAACTTAAATGCGAATCGTGTGAAACAATTATTTTCGGTATTGAATTTAAAGCATTTAAATAAAGAAGAACAAATTTCGATCGAAAACATTTGTGCAAAGTACTCAGATGTATTTTTTTTACCAGGCGACAAATTAGGCGTTACCAATTTATATAAACAGTCAATTCATTTGAAAGAAAATACTAACCCAGTGTACACCAAGTCCTATAGGCTCCCTAAAAGTCAAAAAACTGAGATTGATAAACAAATCCAAGATATGTTACGTAACGACATTATCGAGGAAAGTACGAGTGAATGGTCTAGCCCTGTTCTTTTAGTGCCAAAAAAATGTGACAATAGCGGTAATAAAAAATGGCGAATTGTTATTGATTATCGGAAATTAAATAATAATCTTAAAGACGATAAGTTCCCTTTACCAAATATTTCAGATATACTGGATTCCTTATCAGGAGCAAAATATTTCAGTCACTTAGACCTTAGCCAAAGTTATTATCAGTTAGAATTATGTCCAGAAAGTAGGAAATACACTGCATTTACCACAAGCAAACAATATCAAATGAAGCGACTCCCAATGGGCTTGAAAATCAGCCCAAGTGCTTTTAGTCGGTTAATGACGGTAGCAATGTCTGGTTTAAATCATGAAAAATGTCTGGTCTATTTGGATGATCTTATTTGTATAGGACGCAACTTACATTCGCATAATAAGAATTTAATTGATATTTTTGAACGGCTTAGAAGGGTAAATCTAAAAATTAACCCTGAAAAATGTCAGTTTTTGAAGAAAGAATTACTGTATCTAGGCCACATTGTATCTGCTAATGGAGTTTCGCCTGACCCTGCAAAAATACGAGTAATACACACGCCAAAAAATAGTGACGAAGTGAGACGTTTCGTTGCTTTCGCGAATTACTATCGCAAATTTATTCCACACTTTGCTGATATAACAATACCTTTGAATAGACTATGCAGGAAAGGTACTCATTTTATTTGGAATACAGAATGTGAGCGTTCATTTAATCTGTTAAAGCAATGTTTAGCCAATCCACCCATTGTACAATATCCATCCATCCATTAGTAAATCTTGCATCTCTATTTGTGCTATCTTTTTTGTCGCTGGTACCTCTTGTATAAATAAAAGACAGTACCCACTAAAATTACAAGTACAATTATAATTACCAATGAGATGGACTTATCATAATTCATTCTTCGATCATCAAAATTCGCAAATCTTTCCATCTCCTTTTCTTTCCTCTTCAGCACCTCCATGTCTTTGTCTAAGTCCTTCCATATGTTATTATCTAATAGGTGATCAAGATCTGTATCATCTATTTCTGATGTATTTATTTTGTGCATTGATTTCACTGTTGCACTTAGACTATCTCGTTTCCCAGAAATTGAGCTAGACCCGACTTGGATGAAATCAAAAGTTCCATACCTAACCATGGTGATATTGTTTTTGTTTACATAGATTGTCCTAGATTGTGAGATTTTGTTCTTCATAATATTCTGGAGCATGTAAGATGAATAACCCCTGAATATTATGTGGTTATCCATGGGCCAGACTTGCTTAATATTTTCCTCAGTTCGGAGTTTAGACGATATGGTACATGACGAAGCTATTTCTTGCTCTTTGTTAGTGAAAACAGCATTTGCACAGGATGTAGTATGAGTTAGTTCTAAGTTTTTATGTGTACAAAGATGTATTCTTCCTCTATTGTCGCAGCTCTGGAGATCTATAGGTATAACTTGCTTAAGCAGGTTCTCTTTTGAATACGGATCAACTTGATCTCTTTCTTCGCTGATAATAGCTACCGTGTCAGGAAGTTGTATCTTATACAGTCTTGTGCCTGATACCCAACCGATATTTTTTATAGTATAAGTAGGAGATGCATCTCCGTGGGTAACCATAGGGATAGCTATAGCTATTGATAGTGTGTGAGTATTTGTGTTGTATGCTAAGGGAATAGACATACTGAGTTTATAAAACAGATCTAGGTTTTCTCGATATATTGATTGATCAAACTCAGGAGATGCTAGAAGAGTGTTTCTGAGCTCATATGCAGTAATCATCTCTGTAGTGACACTCCCGATTAGTGCAGCATTTAATACTCTTGTTATTGCTTCCCTAGTTCTGTAAGCATAAGACACAAATAGGTCTAGCTTAGATCTGAACACTTCACAATCTGTTCTCTGAGCATGACGAGCTAGCTCAGGAATTATATTCCTTATTGCATGATACATATCATCATCCGCTTTTCTAAGTTCATGTAGCACTCCAAACATTTCTTTTATTGCACCTTCTATCTTCTCGTTCTCTCTCTCTATTGTTGCTATCCTATCAGAGAGTTGTTTCATAGACACCCAAGAGTAGATTGAGTTCCCTAGGACGAATAATCCCGCCCCTATAGCTGCTATAAGGAGAAGGGGAGCTGCTCTTTTCCCCCTACTGTGCCCAACCCTTTGATTGATATCGACCATTCCATTGTCTCCTTGCACGTAACCGGAGTCCTCCCTGCTAGAATTTTTTGAGTAGATGGGATTGTCAAATACTCCTAGTTTTTTATCCACATGATCTGGAACGGAGTCCCCATCCCTATCGCAGAGATGTTCAACTCCTTTACAAAAAAGGGCAGTAAATTGGTTATATGTAGGGTTAAGTAACTCCGAGATATCAGCCATTAAGGTTTCTATAATATCATTTGCATCGAGGATCTGTGTAGGAGTAACCTGCCCTGCGCTAATGCACCTCTTACTAAGTTCTCCATGACCCATAAAAGGATTATCAAACCCAATGTTAACAGTGATTACACTGGTCAACAAAATTCAAACTTTTTCGTGCCACACGGACTTTTTTGATATTTTTTACTTTAGTTGGTGATTGTAAGAAAAGATAAACAGTTAAAAAAAATTTGCTAGCCAAGGATTTTATTCTATTGAGTAATTAAAAATATTAAGAAAAAATACAGATCTCGTAAATCAAACTTTTTTTTTATATAAATTACTTAATAATTTAAGATTTTCTTGAATGTTTAGCTTCTGGTTGGTCCCTTTTAATTGTCCACTAACATATTTGGGCTCCATTTTCCCTGGTACCGCTTTTCCATACTAGAAATGTCCTGGTGGAACCTCTCGCCGTGCTCGTCACTGACAGCCCCTAAATTGTCAGGAAAAAAATCCAGGTGCGAGTCTAAAAAATGGATCTTGAGTGACATGTTGCAACCCAATGCTTGATATGACAATAAGAGCTCGCTAACCAACTCTCTGTAGATGTCACTCTTGTGGTTGCCCAAAAAATTTGCAACAACATTTTTAAATGCGTTCCATGCACATTTTTCTAAACCGCTTAATTTTTCTTCAAATGTTGAATCTTTTATTAACTCCCTGATTTGAGGGCCAACAAAAATACCCTCTTTTATTTTTGCATCACTTATTTTAGGGAATTTTTCTTTTAGGTACAAAAATCCACTCCCACTGCGATCCATTCCCTTCACAAAATTTTTTATTAATCCTAATTTGATATGCAATGGTGGTAAAAGCACATTATTTGGCTCTACAAGGGGTAAATACTTTACATTTTTTTGGCCAGGAACTAACGATGCACGCATAGGCCATGTTTTTTTATATAGTGATTAGTTCTGTCTCGGCTATCCCATTCACATAAAAAACAGCAAAATTTTGTGTAACCCAGCTGAAGTCCAAGTAATAATGCAACAACTTTAAGATCACCGCAGATTTTGAAGGAATATGTACTGTAATTTATTTTTTCAAGTAAAACTTTCATATTTTCATAGGTTTCTTTCATATTTGAAGCATGGGCCACAGGAACAGACGGAAGCATATTTCCATTATGCAATAAAACTGCTTTTAGACTTTCCTTCGAAGAATCAATAAATAAACGCCACTGAGAGATTTCAAAATCTATGTCCAACATTTTCATGATCTCATTTATGTTATTGCAAAACACCAAATCTCCATCCTGAGAAAAATACGTTCTGAAGTGTTCATCACGGTTTCGAAAATAGCTAACTTTTGTATTATGATGTAGCAAATTCCATTCTTTTAGCCGAGATCCTAATAGTTCCGACTGCTTTTTTGACAAATTTAAATCCCTAACCAAATCATTTAGGTCTCCTTGAGTTATCAAATGTGGCTCCTTTTCAATTCCTTCAAACTCAAAGTCATCATTCTCGTCAAAAGACCGACTTGAAGTAGACGGTTGTGAATGGTCGTTATCAACAGACGTTGTTGCAACTGGTATTAGTTCTGGCATTTTTTTACAATGAGAGACTGGTCTTATAGCAGAAGATACGTTAGGGTAGATAACTGTTTTTTTTTTCTTGTAATTTATACCTTTTAAGTCAGTGAGACAAAAATAGCAATCCGAAACGTGATCTCGCTGTTCAGTCCATATCATGGGTACAGCAAAAGGCATAGCTCGTGCACCTTTCTTCCAGTCGGTTAAATTTTTCACACACGTTATGCAACAGACATGAGGGGCCCAGAATTTGTCTTGATGGGCGACAGAAAAACCAAAACATTGGTGATAACACTCCAGCACAAGATTCGTAAAATTTCGTCGTTGTTTTTTGAATGTAAGTTCTCCGCAGATATAACAAAAAGAGTTAGGGTTATTTTTACACTTCCTCGACATGTTCACAGGATTAATAAATCACAAAAAATATTCAAATTCAACTACAAATACTTTTATGACGATTTACTTGTGAGCGTTTCTGTTAATTTACCGCCGTAGTACTAGTTATGAGTATTACCGTATCACAACAAATATGAGGCTAACAGACAAATGAAAACTGTGATTTAATGATGAGGGTAGATTGATAAAACAAAATTAGCTATCAAAGTTCGTGTGGCAAAATCAGTGTTGACCAGTGTTATCTTTGTATACATGGGATATACTGCCAGTCCTACATGGTCAGAGAATACTCCCATGTTTGGGAGGTAAAAACTATTGAATCAGAATGTCTTAAATGTCATGACACGAAGTATGGCAAAAAAGACATTAGATGACAATTCTTCGGTCGATAAGAACAAAACAGATGTTCGGTCTGATCAACCGAAAATCGTTGAAATTCTTAAAAAGCCGAATAATTGCACTGAATTAATATTTTCTCGGTGTATACTAAAACATAACAGTAAATATATTAAAGTAAATGACTTTATTTATGTACCATCTAAATTGACAATTTATTTAGACCCAATTTCTCGATCATGCTCAGCGCGAGACGCTTTCGTGAGAGATTTGGAATCTATCTGTAAAAAAATATCAATTGATGAAGTTTATATCATTAAAAATGAGATGATTGAGAAACATATAAAATGGTTAACCAAATATATTAGGAATTATGATTGGACCGGTCCACGAATTTTAATATTGAAGAATTTAATAAGAATAACAAATGACGACGATAAACGGGTAATATTAAATGATTTTCACTTGCTTCCCACTAGCGGGCATGCAGGTATTAAACGTATGACAAATAATATAAAGCGTTATTACTTTTGGCCAAACATGGTAGAAGACATTATAGGATTTGTGAAAAAATGTGACAAATGTCAAAAACAAAAGCATTCGTTGCATACAAAACAACCAATGGTAATAACCACGACTGCGCAGTCAGCATTTGATAAAATATATTTAGATATAGTTGGGCCCTTAGATAAGGATTATCATAGTTACTCATATATCCTCACATTGCAATGTGAGTTAAGTAAGTATGTAGAAGCATATCCATTAGTAAGAAAGGATAGCGTAAGTGTAGCACGAGCATTTGTAGACAACTTTATACTCAGGTATGGCATCCCTCGTGAGATCGCGACTGACAGGGGAACCGAGTTCATCTCTAGTACTATGACTGAGGTATGTAAGTTGCTAAATATTAAACAAACATTTGCTAGTGCTTACCATCATGAATCGATAGGTTCACTTGAGAACTCGCATAAGTCACTTAATGCTTGTTTGAGAATTCAGACAGACAACAACAGTAGATATTGGAGTGAATGGCTCCCTTATTAGTGCTTCTCGTACAATACCTCTGTACACTCGGAAACAAAGTATACTCCCTACGAGCTAGTATTCGGAAAGTCATGTAATATACCTAGTAATTTTCAAAATTGTACTGTTGATCCTTTATATAACATACACTCACCGGCACGGAATCTTGGCCAAGTGCGTATTTCGCGATAACAAGAGCTTCAAGTGTTTCCTATGATTATTTATTATGAAGGTAGGTCTAAAAAATGTTTACCTTTAGTTCAAGAGGGTAATTTATCACGTTTGAGTGCAATATGACGTTATTTTTAAGTTTTAGTTGAACCCGGTCATCTGAGCGACTAAGTTGCTGTTTTAAATTTGTGTTTTGTGAAAGTTTATTGTTAGGTTATTCAGTTATTGTCATATCGTACTGTTTCTTCAATGACTAAAGGTGATTTGATTCCAATAAAAATGCCATTAACACCATCACAGGTTGCACAAGCTGTAGCATTGATCGAACAAGGGCTGACACAGCGAGAAGTTGCTGTTATTCTGAATGTACCACGTTCATCGATGCAGTATGCGCTGAAACGATACCAGGAGACAGGCCGCTACTCACGCAGACCAGGCAGCGGAGGTGTCAGATGCACATCAGCCAGGGATGATCGCTTTATTGTCCTAGAAATTTTGAGAAACCGCTACCTCACCGCTGTTGAGATACGCCGGCGACTCCAGTTCACAAGAGGTGTCAATGTTAGTGAACGTACAGTGAGAAGACGAATAGAGGAAGTGAATTTAAAAGCTCGTAGACCAGCACGTGGCCCAGAACTTCTCAGAAGTCACCGAGTAGCTCGACTACGATTCGCACGAGAACACGTCAACTGGACCCAAGAGCAGTGGGCTCGAGTACTGTTCACAGATGAGTGTCGAATCGCTTTACGAGCTCCAGATGGTCGGGAGCGAGTATGGAGAAGAAGAGGAGAGCGGTTTTTACCGATTACCACCACACAAACTGTTAGTTTTCATGGAGGCTCTATAATGGTTTGGGGAGGAATAAGTTCCGATGCACGTACGGAGTTAGTTATCATCGATAACCGATTAACGGCAACACGATACATCGAGGAGATTCTTCAGGAACATGTGTTGCCATATTCGGGGTTTCTTGGGTTCGACGAATTCCTCCTAATGCACGATAACGCGCGCCCACACGTTGCACATTGCGTGGAGGAATACCTTACAGAGGTTGGTATTCAAAAATTGCAGTGGCCAGCTCGTAGTCCAGACTTAAATCCAATAGAGCATATCTGGGACATGCTTAAAAGAAAAATAAAGTCCTCCTCCAACCCGCCTGAAACTCTGAACCAGCTTCGAAATGCAGCACTGACCGCTTGGGAAAGCATACCACAAGTTGAGATCAGAAACATCATCCAAAGTATGCCAGAACGATTGCAAGCTGTTATCAGGGCTAGGGGAGGAAACACCCAATATTAAAATGCAAAAACAATGAAGACTTTATGTTTATTTTTCATTTTGTGTTCTTTTTAAATTGACAGTATTAAAATCAATATTTTTGTGAAAATGCTTATTTTTAAAAGAGTACTGTTGGTGCATCAATTTTTCAATGACTGACTTACTAAACCATGAAAAAACTCTAATTTAGTGCATAAACCCATAATGTAGTGAAAATTAAATATTTAAATAGAAATTATCGGCGAGTTAGTTAGTGGCCAAGTTTCCGTGCCGGTGAGTGTAGATAGTTACCCTTTAGAATTAATATTTAAATTACAAAAAGCGCAATGTGAAGCACGACAAAATTTAATCAAAAGTAAATTAAAAAGAAAATGTAAATTTGATGAGTATTTAAAACCAGTGATGTATAACAAAGGTGACTTATTATTAATTAAGAATGAAACAGGAAATAAATTTGATAATGTATACCATGGCCCTTTCAAAGTTTTAGAAGATCTTGATCCAAATGTTAAAGTTTTACGAAATAATAAAGCCGAAATTATACATAAAAACAGGACAAAACTATATATTAAATGATAATAGATTTATATTAAATATTGTATACTACATAGTTATGTATAAAAAAAAACATACTTAACCACTCTAACGTCCGGGCCGCGCGACCGTTTATCTCTCTAACGTCCAGCTGCGCGCGGCGTCCGAACCGCGCGCGACTCGCAAGTTCGTCGTATCAAAAAACCTATATAGCTACTGAACCGTAATGGCTAGAATAAAGAAAAAAGTACCAAAAAAAAGATTGAAGAATACTGATCAATCTTAACGATTTTTTTAAATCGTAAGTTATAATCTTTGATACAAAAAACCGGGTTAAACATGTAATTCAGTAAAAAAATACACAATTATTTCTACCTTTTTAGAATATAAGGCACAACTATTGCATATTTTATCAATAAAATATTTTTACAACAAACTAGACTTATTACCCTTTCTTCTGATGTATATACGATTACATTCGGTTAACTCTAAGTATTTTAATTAAATCAAAACAAAACACTACTCCTCGTAATTTTACCGCGATGTCCCGAGCGCCCTTGACTCGTCCGAGAAGGCGAAATAATAGCAATATGGCCGCCCGTCTAAGGTTTCCCATACACAATGTAATTTTAATAAAATATTTTAAATAATTTTATGAATTAGTTTTATGCAATAATTGTATTTTTGAAGTTGTTTATTTGTTCTAGTTGGTTATTTAAATAAAAAGCAAATAAAAAAATCAATATATAATATAATAATTTATTCCTTCCACACATTTATATATGGTAAGCCATAAAACAATTTTCAATGCAGAGATTGACGTCGCTGTGAATAATTTAAACATTAGTATAATAATTTAACATTAGTATTGTTAAAAGAATAAAATAAAATTTGGCGAAGCATTAAAATATATGCGACCATGCAACACGTGCAAGGGCAACAGTAAAAAAGAAAGGTAGTCAAATCCACAAGTGCATTTTTTTACATTTAGCGGAAATTAATCAACACGAACAAACATGTAATTAATGTTTCAAAACAAAAAAAAACCATTAGAACATTATACATATCCAACGGAAACCTAGCGAAAAATAAATGATAAATATTAGTACAAAACCAACCAAAAGTGCATTTTATATTAAATATTAGTATCATCTCAAGCAAAATATTATACCACCACTAGCAAAACAAAAATAATGCAAACATATTTTGCCGTGTATAGCGAACCTTATTTATCACGTTTCATGTAACGTCCATGGATACCAAACAGTCCACATCAAAAAACCTGAGGAGCACATTGACATTATTATGGAATCTTCAGTGAATTTAGTATATTTCTCTTTGAAAAATGTATTATTTTGCTTATTACGAAATGTATTTCGATATTTTATATACTATTGTAATGCAAAGTATGTAAAATATGTATAAACAAAACTAAAAGTGGCCGACACCATACGACCGGCCATTTTTTTCGAAACAACAATCGTTTGAAGTTAAAAGTAGACTAGATTTATCAGCTAAAACTGTGATATTTATACATCATCGTAAAGCACAAATCTTCTAGTTTATTTTGATGTATAACACTTGCAAGATAAATAAAACAAAACTGTAGTACTTACGACATAATTGTTGGCACTCACAAAAACACTTCACAACACGCGCGTCAAACGAGTCAACTGAACTTAAAAAATTATATTTTGTTTGTCAAAGCTTATTACACTGCCATCTCTATTTTTTTCGTCGAACTATTTATTCAACTGTATAGATAATCTGTCAAAACTCACCAAGCAAGACCGTATTTTAAACTAGAGGGCATTAAACACAACTCGTCGCTTTGGATACTATAGTATCCATGGGCGTATGACGCTACTTTTTTCTTGGATACCGTACTATCCACGGACGTCAGAGTGGTTAACGTAATTTTTTTTTCTGTTTTTGTTGGGCGTATAGTGGAACC